CCCCCCTACAACTGCATGAACATATGCTGTGAGGCTGCTGTGGAAAGTGTCATTATCACTGTTCTACTGAGTCTCCTTAGAGCTTGAAGGTACTGGGAACCCAGAATACCAGGCTTCCAGTCTCAGCCTCTGGTTCCTCTGCAGTGACTCAGCTGCAGAACAATCTGACCTGTGCGGTACTGGGGCCCACCTCCCCCAAGCTGATGCTGAGCTTGAAACTGGAGAACCAGGAGGCAAAGGTCTCAAAGCAGGAGAAAGCGGTGTGGGTGCTGGACCCTGAAGCAGGGATGTGGCAGTGTCTACTGAGCGATAAGGGCCAGGTCCTGCTGGAATCCAAGATTGAAGGTGAGGATCCAGGTTCCGTGACCTAACCCCAAACCTCTGCCACCTCAGCGGTGGGACCTTCCTGGGCTTGACAGAGAGCACCCAGAGTCCCAGTGTCCCAATTTCTCTGAGATGGAGGAGTTATATGTATAGTGGCCTGCAGAGACAGAAGTGACAGGTGAGGAGAGGCATGGTCCTGGGTTCTAGGTACCCACTTGTAGTCCTACTAGTTCCCCCCTCCCTAAGGTCTACAGACTAGGAATGCAGCCCACCTGACAGAGAGCCCTCTCTCTCTGGCTCCCCTCCAAATCCAGACAGACAGACACAAATGCACACACACACACACACACATACACTCACACGAGGACTCAGGGTCTGGACTACTGCTTCCAGCTCTCCAGAGCGCCCTGCAGTCTCTAAAACATAAAATCCCTTCCCCCTCAGCCTCCTCAAGCCCTGGTGCACCCTGCCCCTCTCTCCCAGCCCAGGATCAGAGCTGAGCCTGACTGGGCAGCGAGACGGTCCCGTGCCCCATCAGCAGGCCCTGTGCCCCTGATGGAGGGCAGGGCACCAGGCGCGCCTCTCTCTCTTGCAGTCTCGCCCACACAGTCCCCGCAGGCCTGGCCTGTGCTCCTGGCGGCCGGGCTGGGGGGCCCTGCAGGCTTCCTGCTTCTCACTGGGCTCTGCATCTTCTGCTGCATCAGGCGCCGGCTCCGGCGGGTGAGTGAGCTTCCCTGGCCCCCACCTGAGCCTGTACGACAGCATCCTGTATATGGGACCTGCTTCTGGTCCAGCTCTCTGTCCCCTCCACCCCGCCCCCACCCCTGAGTTCCCTGACTGCAGACCAGGCCCTGTCCCAGATCCCATGTGAGGAAGAGACAAGAAAGAGTAGAAAGTTAATTCCAGGAAAGATGGCCTCAGCCACAGGAACTGCTTCTCCTCTCCCAGCGCCCCCACTTCCCCCTCCAAGGGCCCCTCCCTTCTGGAGGCCTGGGACCCTTACAACTCCCCTCGTTGTCCCTGGACAGCGCCAGGCAGAGCGGATGTCTCAGATCAAGAGGCTCCTCAGTGAGAAGAAGACCTGCCAGTGCTCCCAGTAAGGATCTGGTACACGGGGTAGGACAGGGGAGAAGGGAAGGGGACGGTTGGAACAGGGGAGGGTGGGGGAGGGCAGGAGGGGTGGAGGTGAGAAGATGGAGCTAGAGGGAGGCGTGCAGAGGAGGCAGAGGGGGAGGGGGAGGGGCAGGGTGGTGGGCCTGGGGTCTGTGGATGTGGCCTTGCAGGTGTGCCTCAGAGGCTCTCACTGCACTGGGAGAGAAAAGTGGGGTCTGGGAGCCATGGGGGTCCTAGAATGCAAAGGGGTGGGGGAGGGGAGGGGAGAGACTTACTCTCCTTTTTCTTCATTCCTCCAGCCGATTCCAGAAGACATGTAGCCTGATATGAGGCGGGAGGCCAGGGGAGCTTCTCACTTGCAGCGTCACCAGCTGTCTGCCCTGTGCTGCCTGCAGGGCTGGGGCCTGTGGACCAGATGAATGTAGCAGATCCCAGGCCTCAGGCCTCCTGCCCTCCTCCTCCACAACTTGCCCTTGCTTCTCCTCTTCTGTTCCAGTGCCTGGGTTAGGCCCAACCCCATTGGCTGAGTCTTGCTCTCAACTTTCCAGAGGCTTAATCACACCATTTCCCCCATTTCCTTTCTGCTCAAGCCCTAGCCCTTCTCTCGGATTATTTCTTCTTAACCCTCTGCCCCACTGTCCACTTGGATCCCAGGGAGGTGTGCAGGACCAGCCCTGAATGACATGGAGGGCAAGGCTGGGTGTCTGGAAGCATGAAGCACAGGGCTGTCATTTTACAGGGGAGGACCCTGGGACCAAAGAGCAGGAACTTGCCCACGATCACACAGTCAGTCAAGAACAGATGCAGATCCAAAGGCTCCTGGCTGTCAGCCCCTACCACCCCCTCCTGCCTGCTTCTTACCCTGTGCTGGCAGGGCCATAGACTCCCAACCTGACCCCTGCACAAAAAGGCCCCCAGACACATGCCCACGTACACAGCCACACACTTGTCCACACACACATTAGGCCTCATGGCCAGCTTTAGGTTCGGCAAGACAGAGAAAAGGGAGAGACACCCAAGCCAGGCACTATTTCAGCCAAGAAGCTTTATTCCACCAGCGTGGAGGGGAGACTGAGTTAGATCAGTTCTCCCCGAACAAAGGAAAGCAGGGGATTTACAAGCCTTTGAGGGTTCTGGCAGAGTAATGGGCAATTTCAAAATCAGTGCTACGCAAGGTGACACAGCCCTTGTGGTCCCATAACATCTGGTCAGTTAGGGCATAGGCTTCTGAAACATTCCTTCCAGCCCAGCCCAGTTGCCTTAAGCTGGCCATGAGGCCTAATAACACACTATTCCTTCTCACCTGAGCACATGTTTCACTTCATAAACCAATTTCACATCCACTGTCTATTCGAATTTATGGAAATCCTATAAGGCTGGCACTGACAGGACCAATATTATCATCTCCAGTTTATAGACCAGAAATGGAACTCAGAGAGGCTATATGATTACCCAAGGTCACACAGCTAGCAAGTGCTGGAATCAGGACTCATCCAGGTCTCTTGAACCTAGTTCCACTGCTCTGTCTTGAACGCAGGGACAAATACCACACAGATCTCTGCAGTAGCTAGTCAGAGCTACCCAGTGTGCACCTTTGGATTCACATAAGCACACCACACACGGTGGGAGGGGGGGTGCTGTCATAGAGTTCAGGAGCATGAGGAAGTCCTCCCTGCCTGAAGTCCCTCCCTCTTCACCTGCTGGTGGCACAATCCTGTTACCATAGGACAAAACCTTCAGTTCTCATCAGAGCACAGGCTGTGAGCACAGGCCCTGTTGGGGAGAATGCCCAGAGACTGGACACTCACCCTGTGGAGAACTTTCTGGAAAGTGAGCTTTGCTAGGGAGGGGCCAGGGAGCTAGTCTGACAGCGAACACTTTGAGGGGTCATCCTGTGAAACTGGGCCTCAGTCCCCCTGCCCTGTGTCTTCCTTCATCTCTTCTCCAAACCATTCAGGACCCAGGGAAATGTGACAAGTTATTTTCCTCGTCTTCTTGATCCATTCCTCTCAGCACCCCCAGCCTTTGCCTCTCCCTTCCCTTCCTGCTGCCTCACTCAGTCCCACCCGCTTTTCTCTTTTCCATTCTACCCTTCTCTTTCCAGCTTGCCTCTTCCAGGAAGACCACCCAACTGCTGCCAGGGCTCCCATTGCTTACTTTGTGTTCCTGCCCACTCCCTACTCCTGCTTCCCTGAGCTATCAAAAATACAGTGTACATACTATAAAGGAGACAATTTGTGTGCGTGTGTGTGTGTAAGAGAGAGGTGGACACTTCTCTGGGGAACAGGAATCTTCTGGTCTTTCGGGTCAGACACAGAGGAGAGGTTGCCAGGCCCGCCCCAGGGAGGATATAAAGTTTCCCTGGGAGGGAAAAGATTCCCCGGAGGCTGACTGCCCACCTGCACACCCAAAGGGCTCTGTGTGCGCCTGCGTGCCTGTGAGGCTAAAACTCTGCAACTGCATATGTGGGCTACACGGAGGGGAGAGACGGCAGAAGTGTGTGCTCCCCGGTGTGTGCGTGTATGCGTGCGCGTGGGTGTGTGTGGTGCGCGTGTGCGCGCGTGTGTGCGTGTGCGTGGGTGTGTGTGGTGTGCGCGCGGGTGTGTGCGTGTGCACGCGCGGGTGTAACCAGCCCTCAACCCACAAGAGCCCCAGCTTGCATCACACACGTGCACACAGTAACACGCCGACACAGCTTCCTCCTCCCTGCACAGCTAGCTCCTCAGTCTCCAAAACACCAGCTGCCTCTTGGAGCCTGTGTTCGTGCTGGAGGACGGGACGGGCGGGGCAGGACGCGAAGCACTTCGCCAATGGAGCCGTTCCCCGCCATCCTCCTCGCCCCTCCCTCTCGGCGCCCTGCTTGCCCCTCCCCCGCCACCGCCGTCCAGTTCCCCGCCCTGCACTCGCCGTCTCCCGTCCCCGTAACCCGGGCTCAGGCAGGATGACCCCGGGAGAGGGGCCTGGAGAGACCGAGAGGGGCCGAGGCTGAGCGAGCCGCGGGCTGGGCCCGAGAGGCCGGGGCTGAGGGGGACGGGAGGAGGCCGGACGAGCCGGAGCCGGCGGGCGGCGGGCGCCCGAGCGAGCCGCGTCGGGAGCGCGGTCTCCATGGCAGTGCTGGGCGCAGCCGGAGGTAAGACGACCCCTGCCTCGTCCCCGCGCCGCCTGCCCTCTGCCCTCTCCCCTCTGGCCGGCCCCTCCTCCCCAGCCACCTGCTGTTTCTGCCCTAGAACACGGTGGGTGACAGAAGGAGGAGCCGCCTGACCTTACCCCTTCACCCCAAAGGGCGAGGGGCGCGTGTCGGCCTCGGAGCCCCCAGGTCCCCTCTCGCACCTGCTTCTGCCCGCTCTGCCCTTCACCCCCTTCCCTCTGCCCTTCACAGCCGTCCTGCCGCCCTCCCTCCGTCTCTGACGCCCCATCTCGGTCTTCCTGGGCCCACCAGCTGGGCCTGGGCGGAGGGGCCGGGGCCCGAGGCTGTGGGGGCGGGGGCGCTCCTGACCCGCTCCCTCCGCCTCCCGCTGGCTGGCCATCGCCATGGCAACCAGGGCGTACTGGGCTCCGGAGAGAAGCAAAGGTGGGTGGACCAGGACTTGAGGAGGGGAAGGGTCTGAGGTTCTGCCACAGGAAACAGACCCTGTCACTGCTGTGCCCCATTTTTACCGCGTTTACCCCAAAGCCACCAAGCCCATCCTAACAGCCTCTACTCTGTTCAGGGTCTCATCTGGTTTCCTCTTAGCCCCCTTTCCAGGGGTCACTGAAGCTCAGCACCACTAAAATCAGGATTCACTCCCCTCGTAGGGAAACGGAGGCTCAGGGCCAGGGGAGAAAAGAATGGAGGTCTACGAGTGGGGCCTTTCTCCTCAGCCTCCCTGGTCCCTGCTCCCTCCCTCCATCCAACCTTCCTCCCTCCAAAGCCTCCTCTCCAGGGGATTCTGAGCTTTTCCTTCTATTTTTGGATACTACCACTTTGCCCCCTCTTTCTCTTCTGCTCAAACTCTCCTCCTTCTCCCTAGTTCCCCCTCTTTCCATTTCTGGATACTTCTGATGTCAGCAGTTTCCCCGCCTTCGGGTTCCCTGGCCTCCCGCTTGGTCCCTGCCTCCTTTCTCCCATTTTCCCAGATCCCTGGGTAGCTGGAGGGTGATCATCCGGGCTTCAGGAAACATGGCTGAGCACCAACACCACTGGACCCAGGAGACTGGAAGGCAGAGGAGGGGGACTGTAATACCACATGCCAGTTTACTGTGAACCCTCAGGAAGAAACAAGTCATGTGTCTCCCATCGGTAACCCTGAAGAGAGATTTAGGGACTTAAGATACGGTGAAGTAGTACTGACAGGGTATATTATAAGAAGGAACATGGGAGTTCCAAGGGAAAGAGAAAGGGCTGAAAAAGGACGGGAGATAGGGAGGTCGGAATACCTTCTTTCCTGGAGGTCTGGAAGAGCAGGAACTCTTATGTGTGTGGGCTGTTTGGGTGACCATTTGATTGAAGGCAGGGGAATGTTCTGAATGACCACCATGACCCCAGTAATCAGTCATTTCTATAGTTTCAAGAGAAAGGGGCACAAGAAACCAGGTGGAGACCAGCCTAGGCCCTAGCTCTGTCCTCCCCTCCCACATCTCATCTTTCCCTTGCAGCTTGTCCAGGTGGCTGAGCACCACTCCCAGACCTCTTGGGGCATCCAGAAGATCCCTGACTGGTCAAGTACCAGAGGAAAAAGAGAACTGGAAGTCCAGGCATGGGGACCAGAGCCGTCCAGCCAGCTTCATAGTGGGGAAAGCAGCCATCTTGCATCCCCCATCAATTATAGGGGTACTTAAGGATGGGCCCCATCCAGTATGGAGGCTGAGGACTGCCTCTGCTGACCCCACATCTCCTCCCTGCCCTACACCCCTGACCTTAGCTGGGTCAGTCGTGCAATGCTGAGCAGTAGGGTGGGCCTGGGTGCAGCCCACCTCACTACAGGGCAAGGATTGTGGGCGCCATGGGGGCGTGTGTGAGTGGGACTCCTGGGTGAGACCTAGCCCCCGCCCCCAGGAGTTTGAGGGGGGTGGGGGGTGGAGGATAGGATGGCTCGGGGCGGGGCAGGGGCAGAGGAGGCCTCCCTGCGCTCAAACGCATTGTCCTGGCTGGCCTGTGGGCTCCTGGCACTGCTGGCCAATGCCTGGATCATCCTCAGCATCTCGGCCAAGCAGCAGAAGCACAAGCCGCTGGAGTTGTTGCTCTGCTTCCTGGCGGGCACGCATATACTCATGGCCGCTGTGCCCCTCACCACCTTCGCTGTGGTGCAGCTGCGGCGTCAGGCTTCCTCCGACTATGACTGGAACGAGAGCATCTGCAAGGTCTTTGTGTCCACCTACTACACACTGGCCCTGGCCACCTGCTTCACAGTCGCCTCGCTCTCCTACCATCGCATGTGGATGGTACGTTGGCCCGTCAACTACCGCCTCAGCAATGCCAAGAAGCAGGCGCTGCACGCCGTCATGGGCATCTGGATGGTCAGCTTCATCCTCTCCACCCTGCCCTCCATTGGCTGGCACAACAACGGCGAGCGCTACTATGCCCGTGGCTGCCAGTTCATAGTCTCCAAGATTGGCCTCGGCTTCGGTGTCTGCTTCAGCCTCTTGCTACTGGGGGGCATTGTCATGGGGCTGGTCTGTGTGGCCATCACCTTCTACCAGACACTGTGGGCCCGGCCTCGGAGGGCTCGGCAGGCCCGGAGAGCAGGGGGCAGTGCGGGGCCCAAGGGGAGTGGGCCCAGGGGCTTGGGTACCCGGCCAGCTTTTGAGGTGCCAGCCATCGTGGTGGAGGATGCCCGAGGGAAGCGGCGGTCCTCGCTGGATGGCTCTGAGTCTGCCAAGACATCCCTGCAGGTCACCAACTTGGTCAGCGCCATCGTCTTTCTCTATGACTCACTCACAGGGGTGCCCATCTTGGTGAGATTGGGATCCCCCACCTGTTCTCCCCAATATCCAGGCCCCAGCATCATCATCTGACCTCCAACTCCCTCCGCCACATGCCAGCCCCATCATCTCTCCTCTAGTTCCATCATCCCTCTTCCTCTCCTGGACCCATGCCCTGCTCCATTTGTGAGCCCCTGTCTCTGTCATCCATCTTCTGGTCCCCACTACCCCATCTCCCAGCGTCATCTGTTTTTCAGGCCCCACTCCTCAACTCCATCGCCATCCTTTAGTTCCACTGCCTGTCCTCTGGCTCCATCATCTATCCTACAGCTCCACCATTCAGTCCCCACACCTGTCATCCATCTGCTGCGCCCCATCCTCCGTTCCCTAACGCCCTCTGGATACCACTGGTCTCTGAGCAGTCCTGGGCAAAAACCCCAGAGGGCTCACCCCAGCTAGTCCCTATTCCTGGACTTCTGTCTTCAAGTTTGCTGTACCTCCTCTGTTCCTGTCCCTCCTCACCCCAGGGCTCTGTCTCTAGCATTCTCCCATGACTTTCCTCTCCTCACCCCATCTCCACCTCCAACTTCGCTCTGTCTGGCTTCTTGCCCACCTACTGCCCAGCACATCAGGGTCAGGTGGGCCCCTCGGCTCCGGGCCCTGACAGGGCGCCATTCCACATCCTCCCGCCAGGTGGTGAGCTTCTTCTCCCTTAAGTCGGACTCGGCTCCCCCGTGGATGGTGCTGGCTGTGCTGTGGTGCTCCATGGCACAGACGCTGCTGCTGCCCTCCTTCATCTGGTCCTGCGAGCGCTACCGCGCCGACGTGCGCACAGTGTGGGAGCAGTGCGTGGCTATCATGTCCGAGGAGGATGGCGATGACGGTCAGAGGAGGGACTGGGCTGTTGCTTTCCCAGACGTCTCTCTATTCCCCTTTGTGCCCTTTTCTAGCGCCCTTCTCTGCGAGAGGACGGGCAGCCCTGGAGTGCCCCCTGCTGGACACAGCCCGCGCCACCCCTGAACTCCCCTTTCCCTAATCAGCATCCTGCTGCCCACTCACTGCTTCCTTCTGCATGCACTGAGGGCTCCCTTCACGTCGCCTAGGCTACCGCCTAGAAGCCCCACTGCCCAGCTCTGGCCCCTGCCATCAGAGTGCCTGACAAACAGTCCAGAGTCCTAACACAACCACAAAAGCAAGTCTTGCAGCAATAAGGGGAAGCTAAGCCTCCTGAGAGAGACCCTCAGCTACAGGGACAGTTCTTGGGGGAGGGCAGGTAATTGTTTCAGTAAATACACCTATATGTGTGAACCACTAGGGATTCAGCATTGACCGCAACAAATTGTAGCTGCTCTTGCTGTCCTCTTGGAGCTTATAGACTAATGAGAACTGAAGGGTTCTCTTCGTGCTTATAGAGGGGGTGGGAGGGGGTAGTATTCCCTGCCTGTAACCGTTCTGCCCCTTTTCTCTCCTAGATGGGGGCTGTGATGATTATGCTGATGGTCGAGTGTGCAAAGTTCGCTTTGATACTAATGGAGCCACAGGACCTGGGGGTCGGGACCCTGCCCAGGTGAAGCTGCTGCCTGGAAGGCACATGCTCTTTCCTCCTCTTGAGAGAGTCCACTACTTACAGGTATGGAACTTGGAGACACACCTCCAACCCTTGGGATCCCCTCATCACTTTTCTCATCTTTTTTTTTTTTTTTTTGGTGGCTGGCCAGTATGGGGATCTGATCCCTTGCCCTTAGCGTTACCAGTACCATGTTCTAACCAAGTGAGCTAACCAGCCAGCCCTCCAGTCTCTGTTATCCACTCCAACCCCCTTTTCCCTAGCCCAGGCCTGCAGGGCACCATAAGGTATAGGTGAAAGAAAGGCATGGTAAGAGAGGCTTCCCTTCGGACCTCTCAGCCAGGTTTGTCCTCTGGAACAAATGTTTTTTGTTTTGTTTTGTTTTGTTTATATCCTATATAAAGATGACCGGTAAAGGGATCTCATCTCAACCCTTGGCTTGGTGTTGCCAGCACCACGCTCAGCCAGTGAGCCAACCAGCCATCCCTATATAGGATCCGAACCCGTGGCCTTGGTGTTATCAGTACCGCACTCTCCCGAGTGAGCCACGGGCCGGCCCTGGAACAAATGTTTTGAAGAAGTTTAAGAGATTGGAGCTTTCTTGCACCACTTTGGTTTCTGCTTCTGCCTCCTTTGTCCCTGTAGCAACTCCACGTGTTACCTGCTCCTCTCCCCAGGTCCCTCTGTCCCGCCGGCTGTCCCATGATGACACCAACATCTTCTCTACTCCTCGGGCACCAGGCTCCTTCCTGCACAAATGGTCCTCCTCTGATGACATCCGGGTCCTCCCAGCCCAGAGCAGGGCCCTTGGGGGCCCTCCTGAGTACCTGGGGCAAAGACACAGGCTGGAGGATGAGGAGGATGAGGAGGAGGCTGAAGGTGGGGGCCTGGCCAGCCTTCGCCAATTCCTGGAGAGTGGGGTTCTTGGGTCAGGTGGGGAACCCCCACGGGGTCCTGGCTTCTTCCGGGAGGAGATCACCACCTTCATCGATGAGACACCTCTGCCTTCTCCAACAGCCTCACCGGGGGCCTCTCCTCGCCGGCCCAGGCCACTGAGCCTCTCACCTCGCCGACTCTCCCTTGGGTCCCCTGATAGCAGAGCCGTTGGACTTCCTTTGGGGCTATGTGCAGGGAGACGCTGCTCCCTGACAGGAGACGAGGGGAGTGCAAGGGCTTGGGGAGGTTCCTGGGGCCCAGCCAACCCCATCTTCCCCCAGCTGACCCTGTGAGCCAAGTGGGCCTGCTGGACTCAGAGGAGGGGCCTGGGTGAGTAACACCTCATTCTGGCCCTGAGCCTAGGGCAGCTGCCTCCAGCCTCTGGGGAGATGGGCACTAAATCTGGGGCTCTGGAGCCCCTGCTCTCTCCCATCGAAGTGACCAGATGCCCTACTCACCTTCCATCATCCCTAGCAAAATGTATTAAAGTCTGAAGTGTTGCCATGGAAACCTCAGTGTCCAGTGTCCTATGATGGTGAAGGGCATGATCAGAGGCTTGGGAGGTGGAGTGGCTCATAGAGGAACAAAACAGAGCAGTGGCAATGGACAGAGACCCAGAAAGACACGTGGAGAAGTGATCACACACACTGCAACGTGCAGAGACCACAGGCTTGGGTTGGGGCACAGGGAGACACTGGAGTTTGTGGGTTTGGGGTGTGAAGCATCTTTATTCAGATTTGTGGAAGTGGTTTCAGAGCGTGGCTCTATCCCCTATCCCCCAACCCTCCTCCTCCCCCAAATCCATCCAGGGGCTCACTTTTCAGGCAGTAAAGGGTAGGGCCTGACTTGGTGTACCAGGCCTGGAGTTACCCTCCTCCATGCTGCATGTAAAGCTTTCTCCAAAGGTGAGTGTGAGCGGAAAAGTGTGTGAGGGGCGCCCACACTCTTTTTCCTCGACTTGAGAGTGGAGGGGACACAGCCGCAGTCGTTGCCCGCGCCACGGCCTCGGGGGCTGGAGTCCCGGGTCCAAGCGGGCTCCTCAGCCGCTCCCCCACGAAAGCGCCAGGCCTGCTCCCGCTCCCTCTTTCTCCATCGCTCACGCCGGCCGCCCCACGGCTCGCTCTCCGCACAGCCGTCTTTGGCCTCGCTCATTCCTCCTCTCTTCCTCCCCCTCCGCCTCTCCATCTCTGCTTCCTTCCCCTCCCTCCCCCTTCTCCCCTTCTCCCTCCCTCCTTCTCGGCTCCCGCATTTCCCTTCGGCGGCCAGGCTCTGGCACCATGCTCCGGTTCCTCCGATTGCTGCTGCTCCTGCTGCTGCTGCCTCCCCTGCTGCCGCTGCCTCCCCCGGGGTCTCCTGAGCCCCCGGGCCTGACGCCGCTGTCCCCGGGGGGTGCCCCCCAGGCCCCTGACTTGCTCTACGCCGACGGGCTGCGCGCCTACGCGGCCGGGGCTTGGGCGCCGGCCGTAGCGCTGCTGCGGGAGGCGCTGCGCAGCCAGGCGGCGCTGGGCCGCACGCGGCGGGACTGC